CCGCTGTGCTGGCCCACCGAAGGGGGCGAGGTAACACAGATCAGTGCGCCGGCACCATATCCCACATCCCATAATAAGCGATGCCGAGAGCTGCCGAGGGGACTCCGCCCTGAACATCTGCAGGTTCCAGCTTGGATTCTAGATGCGCGGGCAACCTAATTAGTATGCACTATCTTTCCAGGGAGTACCCGCCCCTTCCCGAGAAACTCACTGAATATTCATTGCTCTGTTGTCCCCACCGAGCCCATATAAGTCCTAGCTTTGCTTCTTGCGAGTCAGTCCCGACTGACTCCTTTTACTTGTCACAAGTGAAATAAACCTGTTAGAGCTGAACCCAGAAATTGTCTCCTCTATGTATTCTTACAAGAGAAAGACAAGGACCCCTTGAGTCTGGAGGGCCTCCGTGCTCTTGGCAGTAACAGTTTGGCGACCACAAAAGTGATTGATTTAGTCTCGGGTTCGAGGACACGAGGGGACTCAGCCCACGGAATCCAGCCCCTTGGAAAGGCAAGCGGCCGCCCGGACTTCCTTGTTCGGTGTCTCTTTGAAGCGGTGAGTTTTCCTTGGGCTCCGCTCTTCACTTGCACCCCACTCTGACAGGTTTAGGTGTCTCTTCCCTTTGATCTCCCCACTTTCGCTTCCTAGTCTTCACCCTTTGTCTGTAACACTTTACCTTAAAGCGCTTGGGTTTGTGGAAGGGGTTGAAGATAATAGATCTCTTCCGAGAGAAGAGTGAAAACTTTGCCCTGCCGGCGCTCATCAGCCCGGAAGCCTTTGGGCCAGTAAGGTTAGGACAGTGGGGGGTTTGGGCTGCCTATCCGAACGGTGCAGACTTTTCCCTAGGCCTGGGCGGATGGGTAGAGGTTCAAGTCCTCAAGAAACATCTGAAGGCGGGTGGTGAGGGGTTCGAGTCCCCAAGAAACACCCGGATTTCGAGACCCCAAGACATATCCTCTGGGCCCGGTTTGGGCGCCTATGGAACGGTGCAGAATCTTCCCTAGGCCTGGGCGGATGGTGAGAGGTTCAAGTCCTCAAGAAAGATCCCAAGGCGGGTGGTGAGAGGTTCGAGTCCTCAAGAAACATCCAAATTTTGTTCCAGCCTCAGTTTAGGCGCCATCTTTCCTTTTCTCTTCCCATCTCTGTTTAGACGCCATCTTAGGCAGCATCTTTCCTTTTCTGTTGCAGCCTCTGCTTAGGCACCATATGGTTCCGACTAAAGTTAACGCTGGCTGAAGCGGTGGGAAGACTGTAGCGGGCGGCCGGGGTCCGTCCTTTACAGGTGGGTCAGTGACCCATGGCCTACTAGAGAACTGCCACCCCTATGTAAGCCAGCCTCTCCCTCTTCTCTTTCTCCTTTTTCACACTGAATTGTGGCGCATAGAAGCTACTCAGTAGGGCTCACAGTAGCCTTTGACCAGACCTTTAGAGAAGCTGAATTTATCAGGCTAATCCGGAAAACCACCTCATCACAGCCGAAATCAGCACGCCTACCTTCCCCTGGGCCAATTATTATTGCAGATAAGAAGTACAGGCTCAGAAAAAAGTCGTAGGGAAATCTCTTATGTTCAGGTCTCTATATCAAGACCCCCAGCTTAGAGACAAGTGTTGGGTTTGTGTTTTGGGAACTCAGCCACGTTCCCTTACCCCAGCACCTGAATCAGATTTATAGACTGACCCACTATTTCAAACTCCTCGCCCGACTGCACCCCTATTCCCTGAGAATTTGGAAGCTCGAGAAGGTAACCGAACCCAGCCGGGGACAGGAAAACCAGACCCTTCTCCATATAACTCACCAAGACCGCCTACTTCTCTTGAGACTAAGCCAGAAGATGAATCGGGGCTATCACCTATGGGGCTCAGATCTGACAATAGGCTTTACTCCCCCATCACACCCCGGTTCTCCGAGACCCCGCCAACCTTAACTCTCCCTTTAAGGCCAAGTGGTGAATGCGGATGGGGGTGCTACTAGGGTACATGTCCCTTTTTCTGTCTCAGATATTATTCAGTGTAAAGAAAGGTTTGGGAGTGTCTCTGAGAATCCCGGTAAGTTCAGAGAAGAGTTTGTTAAGCTTAGCTTAACTTTTGATTTGACTCGGTGAGATGTTCTTGTGATTTTAACTAACTGCTGCACGCCGGATGAAAAAATGAGGATGTGGCTAAGGCCTGAGAACATGCAGATAGCCTGGTGCCAACTAACCCACAACATGACATTTTTAGAGTGGGAGGAGATGCAGTCCCCAAACTGGATCCAAAATGGGATTACGAAGACAGGATAGATCAGGGAAGAACGAGGCATTTTATCAGTTGCATTTCGGAGGGAATGAAGAAGTGTGTGACCAAACCAGTTAATTATGATAGGGTTAGAGAAGTGACTCAGGAGAAAGAGGAAAACCCAGCTCTGTTCCTTAATAGGTTAACTGAGGCTTTTAGGAAATGTACCAACACTGACCCGGAGTCAGCTGAGGGGAGAACCCTAGTGGCCGTGCACTTTATAACCCGGTTCTCTGCAGACATAAGGAGGAAGCTACAAAAGTTAGAGGTGAGACCCCAAACACCGGTCTCACAACTGGTGGAGGAGGCCTTCAAGGTGTTTAGCAATCGGGACGGGGCAGAGAAGGCTAAGAAGGATAGATGGGTGGAATGGAAGGCCCAGTTGTTGGCCACCGTCATCCAAGGGCCACCTCGAGGTAACTGGTACGGGATAAGAAGATGGACCTTCCAGAAGCCAGGGAGCCGACCACAAAGATTGGGACCGAATCAGTGCAGTCACTGCAAGAAAGAGGGGCACTGGGTGAGAGAGTGTCCTGAGCTTCCCAAAACAGGGTGCCCGGTTGGCCCCCTCTGTAAGAAGCCTCTCATTGCTGCCCTCTTGAGTGCCGAGCTAGAGCACTCTGGTTGATGGGACCCAGGGAGCCGCCTGGCTCCGGGACAGCATACCCTGACCATTTCCACTGTGGAACCTTGGGTTACCATCGACGTGGCAGGCAGGAAAAATGAATTTTTATTAGATACTGGAGCCACCTACTCTGTCCTGACCCATCAGAGAGGCCCCCTCTCCACCCGCGACCGCACTGTCACTGGGGTTGATGGGGACCCAAAGGCAAAACGCTTTACTCCCCATCTCCCTTGTGAGTTAGGTCCTATTGCCTTGCTTCACTCTTTCTTATATATCGCTGAATGCCTGACCCCCGTGTTAGAAAGGGACCTCCTAACCAAGGTGAGAACAACCATTTCTATGCATAAAGCCCAGGGTAACCTTGAGGAAGGGAAAGAATTAAAATTAAGCCTACTGGTTTTAACAGAAGAAGAAAACCAATCCTCCAAGGCCGAGATTCCCAAATTTATAGAAGACCAGTTGAACCTGGTAGTCCCAGGCAGGACAAGGGACGTCCTCCCGTTAGTTATCAGACTCTAACCTGGAGCTGAATACCCCTGCAGAAAACAATACCCCCTAAAATCAGAGACCCAAAAGGGAATCCTCCTGATACTGCAAAGGCTCTTAAGACAGGGCCTCATACAGCCTTGCCAATCCCCTTGTAATACTCCCATCCTACTAGTAAAGAAGCTTCTCAAAGCACTTAGACTCAGTGGCTCAGGGGTGGCCTAGCTGCCTTAGGGCAGTGGCAGCTACTGCTCTGCTAGTAAAGGAGGCCTCTAAACTCTCATTAGGGCAGCCCCTCGAAGTTCGTAGCCCCCACCAAGTGCAGACAGTATTAGAAGTAAAAGGGAGCCAGTGGCTAACAGGAGGGCACGTCACCCAGTATCGGGCCACTCTTCTAGACACCCCTGAGGTCACCCTAAAAGTATGTCAAACTTTAAATCCTGCATCTCTCCTCCCAAGAGGTGATGGGACTGAATTAGAACATGACTGCGTAGAAATAATAGACCAGGTTTATTCAAGTAGAGAAGACCTAGAAGACGTGCCTCTAGAGAATCCAGATGCAGAGTGGTTCACTGACGGCAGCAGCCTAGTTCAAGATGGGAGACGAAAGGCGGGATTCGTTATTGTCAGCTCCCGTGATATTATTGGAATGAAGGGGCTGCCGCCTGGCACATCAGCTCAGAAAACCGAGCTCATAGCTCTGGTTAGGGCGTTGCAGTTAGGGCAGGGTAAGAGTCTCAACCTGCATCCAGATTCCAATTACGGGTATCTTGTTCTTCATGCTCGTGCGGCTGTCTGGAAGGAAAGAGGGTTACTAACGGCTCGAGACTCCCCCATTAAGTATAAAGAGCTTATACTAGGACCCTTAGAAGCAGTACAACTGCCAAAGAAGGTGGCGGTAATACACTGCAAGGGACACCAAAATGGAAACACTCGGGTCGCCCTGGGCAACAGCAAAGCTGACAAAGCGGCTAGGAGAGCCGCCTTAACTTTAAAACCTGACCAAGGACTGAGCCTGTTCCCTGGAAGTCAGGCCGTGCGTAACATGCCCCAGTACGGCTCAGAAGAGTGCCACGGAGCTAAAACCCAAGGTTACAAGGTGCATGCAGCCGGCTGGTTGGAAAACGAAGAGGGGAGGATTCTGGTTCCTGACTCTGGTTTGGAAAGTTGTGAAGAGTCTTCACGACTCTACCCATTATGGACAAGAAGCCCTCGCTAACTTGTTACGAAAAGTGATACGAGGGAGACATTTAAGAAAAGTAGTGGGACAAGTTGTGCAGGCCTGTGAGATCTGCTTCTGAAACAACCCCCAAAGGCATCCAGTGCCCCCTCCACTGGCCGGACCAGTTCAACCTTGAGGCGCATACCCCGGGGAGGATTGGCAAGTAGATTTTACCGTAATGCCCCCGAAGTCCTTACTTGTTTCTGTAGACACTTTTACCGGGTGGGTAGAAGCATTCCCCAGTAGGTCCGAGAAAGCAATAGAGGTGTGTAAGGCACTCCTTAAAGAAGTAATACCTTGTTTCGGGTCGCCTAGATCACTTCAGAGTGACAACGGCCCAGCATTTACAGCTAAAATCACCCAAGGCCTGTCCTCTGCCCTGGGCATAGCTTACAGATTACACACTGGTCGGCACCCAGAATCATCAGGGAAGGATGAATCAGACCCTGAAAAAGACTCAAGCCAAGCGCTGTCAGGAGACCGGAGAAACTTGGCTAAGACTATTGCCAATGGCCCTTCTAAGGGTAAGAACGACACCTAAAAGTAAGTTAAAACTTAGCCCTTTTGAAATGATATACAGAAGTCCGTTTTTAACATCTGATCTTTTTGACTCCAATACAAAAGAAACTCTACATTATCTTATAAATCTAGGACAAGTACAAGAGGCCATTAGAGGGTATGGGAATGAGGTACTGCCTGCTTCTACAAAGGGGGCAGCAGCGACCCTAAGCCCGGGAGAGCAGGTGCTCTTAAAATCTTAGAGAGAGGGCTCCCCAACAGACCAATTACAAGAGAAGTGGGATGGCCCCTTTCAGATCATACTGGCTACTCCCACAGCAGTGAAACTCAATGGGACCTTGCGTACATAATTCAAGGATCAAACTCTATTCTCCCCAGGAGGGTGAAGACATCGCCAGAGACACCCCAGAGTATACTTGTGAGCCGATCGAAGATCTCAAGTTCCTCCTCAAGAAAACGGCCCAGGCAACAGATGAGTAATCCCAATGGTAGAGTAGCTGCTACTCTAAGGGTCACTTTTGTCCTCGTTCTCCTTACCATTTTCATTTTGGCCCTTTCCTGCCAAGTCCCTTTGGGATCTAAGTACGTGCCTTGGTGTTAAATTATGGGGCAAAGTGTGTTACTTCTCCTTCTTGGTCCCCTACTCAGCGTTGTTGCCCAGCCCTGGAAAGATAATTTACTAGTTCACCTGTCTGACGGCGTGGTCCACGGCAGTAAGTTGAGTGACTGTTGGATCTGCCATAAGGGAAAAACTGAGGGTTCTCGGCATGGTCCTTTGTTTAAGGCAATTCCTGTCAACCTCTCTGGTATTGATAGATTGCCCCCCCCCTTTCCTAAACCAAAAGGGACAAAGATAATCACCTTACAGGTCATACCCAGCCCCGTGGAAGCTAATCGGTTTGGCGAAGTTCCGTGTCTCGAGCCGGCTGATGTATCCTGGTGGAGTAATGTTGAACCTGCTACCAAAGACTTTAAGCGCCCTCCTTCTTGTTCCCCGGTTGTAGCAGACCTTATATATCTAAAGAACTTTACCAATTGTAATATTTCTCATAAAAATGGTAACACCTGGTATGAAATTGTTGGGAAATTCAACTCTAAACTCACTATAGGGCCCTGTGAGCCCCCAGGAGAGAACTTCACAATGATGGTCCATGGCTCTCAAGCCACATATAAGACATTCTGTCCCACTAATAGTTCTTTCAAAGTAAACTATACCACTCAGGCTATTTGGCGAATTAATGAGACTAATCCAACTTGTAACCAGAGTCACAACTATGGGTCATGGAAAAATTGGATAAGGTCCATTCATGCTTCTGCCTGGAACAAAAGTGGAGACTGGGGCCCTCTTAGAGGCCCTCGGTCATACCCCGGGTGTGAGCGAACAAATAACCATTTCTTAACTGGTCGCTTCCAAGCCTGGATTTTAAAAAATCCTTCTCTCAACCCAAACAATAGTACCTGCTGGCACAACTCACCTCAACTTTTGTGCCTTCCTACTGGACTGTGGTTTCTCTGCAGAGACTGTTCTGGAAGGACACGGGCACTGTCATGCCTCAACTCCACCGAAGTCAGCGGCCGCTGCACCATAGGGTGGTTGAGGCTAAAAGATGACCACATCAGGTATGCCAAGGGTTAATGGCTTTACCCTCACCTGGGACTCGCTCTGGTTTTTCCCGAGTCCAAAGAGAGCCAATCACTCTAGTAGCGCTAGGAATAACAACTCTAGTGATAGCACTGGGAGCCTTAGCAGGAGGGGTAATATACGACACAGTCACTTTATCAAATGTCTCTACCATAGTTGAAGAAGTGGCCGAAGACTCAGGACAGAGTCTCCGGGCTATACAGAAATCCCTAGATTCTCTTGCTACCATGGTGATGGATCATAGACTAGCCCTGGACTTCTTATTGGCTGAAAGGGGAGGGGGTCTGCGATTGCCAACACTTCCTGTTGTTTTTATGTCAACACCTCTTAAGAAGTTGAATTTAGGGCCACCAGATTACTAGAAAAAGCCAAATGGCTAAAAGAAACCGGGTCAAAATTAGCTTCCTCCGTATGGGACCAAATTAAAGGGTATTTGCCTTCTCTGACCTGGTTTTTGCCTTTATTGGGACCTGCAGTAGCCGTTCTTCTCCTCCTGTTTGGCCCCTGCGTGTTTCAGCTTTTGGTAAAGTATGTGCCTTCTAGGCTGCCACAATTCCAAGGTAAGCTAAGGATGATGCAGGGTTTCCAACCCATCCCCAGTAGTGAGCTCGCTGGCACTCAGGTCTTTAGAGCAGGCAGAGAGAGATGTTTATTTGGTTAAGCAGGCCAGCGCCCCTTGACAGCTTGAAGAAGCTACAGAAGAAGAGGCATCCGACCTAATTCCCTTTAAGAATAAAGTGTATAAATCTCTCTGGGGATTGAGACAGATAGGGTTAACTGTGCTGGCGGAATAAAAGAGCTGTTAAAAGACTATCACCTAGAAGTTGGGTAAACGAGAACCACAGCCTATCAACATAAAATATGGTTAGAACAACGCGTGAGTTACTACTTCCTCCTTAGTGTGTTTCTAGTCCCTTTCCCCTTCTCCCAGGCGCCACATGTGTCGAAGAACCAAGTCTGACCGCTGTGCTGGCCCACCGAAGGGGGCGAGGTAACACAGATCAGTGCGCCGGCACCATATCCCACATCCCATAATAAGCGATGCCGAGAGCTGCCGAGGGGACTCCGCCCTGAACATCTGCAGGTTCCAGCTTGGATTCTAGATGCGCGGGACCTAATTAGTATGCACTACCATTCCAGGGAGTACCCGCCCCTTCCCAAGAAACTCACTGAATATTCATTTCTCTGTTGTCCCCACCGAACCCATATAAGCCCTAGCTTTGCTTCTTGCGAGTCAGCCCCCGACTGACTCCTTTTACTTGTCACAAGTGAAATAAACCTGTTAGAGCTGAACCCCAAAATTGTCTCCTCTGTGTATTCTTACAAGAGAAAGACAAGGACCCCTTGAGTCCGGAGGGCCTCTGGGCCCTCGGAGGTAATACTTGGTGCAAGTGGTTAACTTAGCTGCTAATGGAAACGTTAGTGGTTCAGGTCCATCCAGAGACATCTTGAAAGACAGGCCTGACAATCTACTTCTGAAAAATCAGCCATTGAAAACTCTGTGGAGCACACTTCTCTGATACACGTTGCCATGAGTCGAAGTCGATGCAATGGCAAGCATTTTTTTTTTTTTTTTCGTTTTTGTTTTTAAATCTTCCAGAAAGTCATACGTTTGATGTACTTGATCATATTACATGAGCAATTAATTCTGGTGCTGACAGGTTAGGAGAAGGTCACCCAGGTGGTTCCAACAGGATGGTGCATCTCTATGACACCAGAGTGGGGAGGGACTGGTTAGACGATGTAGCTATAAGAGTGGACTGCACACCTTCCAGACCGGAATCCCCTTGATTACTTCTGGAGTATGCAAGAGGCACAAGCTTAGAGAGACACAAGTCATCTGAAGTAACACGTCACGGATGTGTGTGCTGGGACTCCTGCAAATGCAGCGTTAATGCAGCGCAGTCATGAAAATTGTGCGCAGTGCCCTGAACTCTGTGGTTAATAAGGAGTCACACACTGAACATATCGTGTCATGTCATTGAACATATGTTTTACAGTATGTTTTAGTTATCTAGTGCTGCTATAATGGAAATACCACAAGTGGATGGTTTTAACAAAGAGACTTTTATTTCCTCACAGTAAAGTAGGCTAAGAGTCCAAAATCATGGTGCCAGCTCCAGGGGAAGGCTTTCTCTCTCTGTCAACCTTCTCATCAATCTTCCCCCCGGACTAGGAGCATCTCCGCTCAGGGACCCCGGGTCCAAAGGACACACTCTGCTCCTGGCACTGCTTGCTTGGTGGTATGAGGTCCCCCTATCTCTCTGCTCCCTTCTCTCTTTTTATATCTCAAAAGAGATTGCCTTAAGACACAATCCAATCTTGTAGATTGAGTCCTGCCTCACTAACACAACTGCCACCCATCCCCCCTCATTAACATCACAGAGGCAGGATTTATAACATAAAAGAAAATCAAATCAGATGACAAAATGGTGGACAATCACACAATACCGGGAATCAGGGCCCCAGCCAAATTGATACACAAATTTTGGGGGGGACATAATTCAATCCACGACACACTATAATGTCAGTAAGACATTTATTATGCATACGGTTTATTTCCCAAATTGCTTGCTGGAGGTCCTCGTAGAGGCCTTGACTGCATCTCAAATTCAGTTTATCTGGAACAATCTCATGATTTTTCTTTTAAACTTTTCCTTCTGTTTAACCTGGTTTGTAAAGCAACATTGCTGTCTGCCAAGGCATTCAGGGTTGAAACCTTGAAATAATCTTTGACTTCCTCTCTTTTTTTACACACATCCTATCAACCTTCAAGCCACCCTCCAATTCCAACAGACTTAATACTTCTTCCTGGGCTAGTCACGGGCTTCTCTCACTCCCATATTCCATCATTGCCACACGCCCAGGGAAACCATCCTAAATCTCAAGCTCTGATCAGTTTGTGGCCCTGCCTGGGTCTCCTCTTGGTTAAGGAACAATTTTTGTCTAGCCTACCTTCCCAGATATATTCTCTAACTTTTCTTAACACTTTTTGCTTTAGCCAGGCAGAGCTACTCATTATTTTCTGTATGACCTTCCGATGTCTCACCTCTATCTCTGCTCCTGTTGTTCCCATTGTCTGAATTGCACAACTCCACGGGGCACTATTCACATTGCATTCTTTGTGGTTGGTGCCCCATGAGTACAGCTCATGCTGTTGTTCCATAGGGCTGTGTGGGCCCTTTTCCCATCACTAAAGTCTACCATTCTTTTCCTTTGCTTTAAACAGTCAGTTCAAATGTGTTTTCCTCCACGAAAACACAATTTCTGCTGAATTTTTTCTCTTTGATGGAAATCACCTTGAGTGGCATAGCTGATCAGAAAAATTTAAGTAGAAGTGTAGAGATGTTAGAAGTCTGTTTAATGGTTGAATTTAAATGTGTCATTTAATACGTGCAGAAAATAGAATTTGTTAATCTCAACTTTGCCATGTTAGAAAAAAAAAAAAAAAAACTACTCACATGGAGTTCTGATGGGTATTAGTTATTTGGTTCATTGATTTATTTAAACCCCACCTAGTCCTGTAAAGATTTCAGGCAAGAGGAAGCTTACATGCAAAAGTTGCTTAGTAAAGTGAAGAAATAAAACTTTGGATTCCTACCCAAGAATAATGATATAGTTATTTCTCAATTAACCAGAAATATATATATTTTTTGCGTACTGTAATTAATTTAACAGACGGTTGACTGAATGTCAAGAATACAGCATTTAGTTTTCATCTCTGTTAGATCAAATTCTTTCTTAAACACATTAAACCTATTTGTACATAAGAAGGAACATCGTTTAATCTCTATCAAAGAAACAAATTCAAGGCATAGTATAGGCTCATTGTCATCGTTCTGAATATTACTTCTTACTGCATCATAGTCTAGATAAGTGGTGCTCAACCAGAGGGGATTCCACTCACCCTTGCCCCCAGGGTATTTGGCAATGTCTGAAGACATTTTTGATTGTTACAACAGGAAGGTGCTACTGACATCTGGTGGGTAGAGCTCAGGGATACAGTTAAACATCCCATAATGCATAGGACAGTCCCCTACAATAAAAAACTACCTTGCCCAAAATGTCAATGGTGCCAAGGTTGAGAAACCCTGGTCTAGATCGAGAGAGAGAGAGGACCAAATAGGTCCCAAATTTAGAACAGAAGTGGGAGGTGCTTATTTCTGAGTTTAATACACTCTGATTTGCTTCTTTTTCCTTAAAATATTGGGCAGAAACATTCCATTCATTTGAGAAGTCCAATTAGTTGAAATTTTATTGTATTATCATCTTCATGACTATGGTTGTTTAATCTGGGGCATTAGACAATTAAGACCATGAAACTTCTATTCTGGTTGGGGTGGGGATAGTGGGAGTGGGAAATAAACAATAAGTAAACAAATAAACGAGAAAGCTCTAAGCTATGAAGGAAATAAATTAGGATGCTGTGATAGAGAAAAATTTGGGTCAGGATGGCCAGGAGTTGAGTGATGACTATGGCTTATATCCTCAGCAGTGACTTGGCTACTCTATTGAGCTACACTGGAGCTGCCTTTGGCAATGTTCTTCCTTGACTACCCCAGGCCCTGCATCCTTTTATTGGCCCTGCATCCAGTGAGGGCTCTGCCCCGCATGGGGCTACACAAAGTCTTGTCCACTTGAATTGGAAGCATCCATCTGAAGTAGTTGGCAAAGGACTGGGAGCTGGGTGGCATCTCTAAAGAGATGGAATATTCAGGACACAGGATATACTAGACTTTCTCTTCCTTTGTGGTTTTTCCAAAATGTTATGCAAAAAAAAAAAAAAAGAAAGGAAGAAATAAAAACTTAAAATTCGGTCAATGAAAACACAGAAGTCTTTTTGCCTGGAAGTTAGTAATGGAAATGGGAGTTCCAATATATTTGGGAAGATTTATGTCAACCTTACTCTGGGTGATGGCAGGGATGGGGTAAGAGCCAAACACGTTGGACTTTGACCTATAGACAATGGGTTTAAGAACAGACAAAGCTGGATGGCTTATGTAACTGCATATAAATGTTAAAGCTAAAGAATACAATGGGGTTTTCTTATTTAAAGCTCTAGCTTCTTTGGGCAATGACTTTATGGTAAGCATTATAAGTCAATTTTTTGGCTAAAATTGTGTGCAACATAAATTATGTCTTTCTGAACTCTGCTTAGGAAAAAAAAAAAATTGAATTCCTAAAATAGAAAAATGTCATCTAATGTTATTGCTTTTATTTCTTCCTTAATTCTTTGGGATTTAAGAATCAGTTTGTTTTGAGAAGTAATGTTAATGAAATTACACCCATCCTAAAGGCATTTCAACGCAAGTCAATTTATTCATACAAATTACAGGGATTCAAGAGCTTGAGTTTCCAGGACGTAACCTTTGCATCATGTCTAGCGCTGGCTTTGAGCTAGTTTCCAGACTAATTTTCTAAGCAGGATTTGTGTATTAGCACAAAACATAGATATGCGATTAATGGAAGCTAAAAAATATATTTTTGCAAATTGCTTGCCTCCTCCCCGCCGTTTACTAATTTATCGTCTGTGCTAAGTGGATGTGGAGACAATTTAATGAATACAATTTACCGCAGACTTTAGCAAAAAATAAATTTGATTCTGGAGCAGCACAAATGACAGAATCTGGGAAATGAAAGGACACAGAAAGGTCATCTGGTTTGTCCTTCCTCATTCAGACAGGTTTGCGCTTCTCATTACAGGGGGATGAGAATCTATCCTAATTCTGGAGACATCCTGAGAAAGACGCTCTCAGCAGCTCTCTCGTTACTGCTAAAGTGAAACATCCATCGCTCGTGGAAAATTCGTCTGAAAGACATCTGATTTCCTCTTACTGGTGTTTATTCCCATTTCCTCTAAATGAGTCTTCAATGACGACCACATAGAATGTCTGTTAACCAACCACTTTAGATAAACGGGACTGAATGAGATAATGCATATGAAGTTCTTCTAACAGACTCTCAAGATACATGATAGACTTCGCAAAGCGCATTAGCTGCTACAATAATAATTATGGCTATCATGATTATAGAGGGAGAAATCATGTTCTTTGTCTATACAGTGATAA